TATTGTGGGATGTATGATGATTCCCACCTCTAATAACTGGCCTACCTGGGGTTGAAAGTCTCGATAAATGCACGGCGTTTCGGCGTCTACACCGGCTTCCGCCAGTGTGACGCTTATTTTGAGCAACGAAAAATAATAAAAATCTAATTTTATTTTTATATTTCAATATCACAATAATCTTCCAATGTAGAACTACAAGTTAAAAAAGAACTAAACAGAAATAAAATACACTTCAGCTAAATACTTCTAATTTATTTTACCCAAACAACGCGGGGCCGCAGTACAAAGACCAAAGAGCCGCATGCGGCTCCCGAGCTGCAGGTTACCGACCCCTGGGCAGGGAAGGGTTAAGTCAACGAGATGTCCCCATGGATATGAATACACACACGTGTGTGTGTTTGTGTGTGCGTGTATCTGTGTCTGTGTGTTTGTCCAGGTTCCTCACAGTTGCTGGTTGAATTCTTGTTCTGACATCACGACCTCTGTCTGATGTCCAGTTATTGATTATGATTTTCAAGGAAATGACGTCTGCAGCAGGAAGTGGATCAGTTTCCCTTTCTGACAGTTCACCTGCTCCCCTGCAGGAGGCGCTGCTCCCCTGCAGAGGGCCCGGCTGATTTATTTGAACTCTGGGTTTAAAGGCCTCGAGAGCTTGAGAGAGGAGGTGAGGAGAAGTGCGCTGAGAAGTGGAACGACCTCACACTCGTCTCTGCTTAACGATGGGATGCTGCGTGTCCACCGTGCTGAAACTACAATATCCAGAAGACGGACTACAAAACGCAAATCTTCTGGAGGTCATATAAATGAGAGCAGCCTGTGATCGTGCACTACAGAGGCTGGAAGGAGGAGGAGCACAAACACAGCCAGGGCTCCTGCAGAGGCTCAGAGTCTGTTTTGGGCCTGATGCACGTGTGTTTGTTTCACTGCCAGGAGGAGAATATTTAAACGTGTAAATGTGACACAGTTTACTGCATGAAGTCTAACGTGGACGTGTTCTCCCTGCTGCTGGGACAGGAGGGAGGCTTTATCAGGACAGGCGTCCTAAAACGCTTCATTCTGTTCCTCAGTAACACTGTTTGTGCAGGGTCAAAGGTCATCAAGAAACCAACCAATAGGTTTCAGTCAACTTTGGTGGCTCCACCCACCTGAAAAAACCCCAGATCATCCAATCAGAGCTGGCTGAGGCAGCTGGACCACTGAGGAGGTGTACAGACGGTTCTGTTCTGTAGAAGGTCATGTGACTAACATGTCACATGACCTTCTTCCCACTGAGTTCTCTCTTTCTCCACGAATGACATCATTGTGTGTGTGTGTGTGTGTCCATTCAGAACTCCATTTGAATATGAATCAGTGGTCGCCGGGCGGAAAACAGCCGACACAAAGACTCCTTCACTGTGCCCCCCCTTACTTCCTGAAACCAGCCGGCCTTCTTCATGAAGACCGTTTTCTTTTCTTCCCTGTTGAAAGACGCTGAGAGTCTAAAGCTGCTGACAACAGGAGGAGGAGGAGGGGGAGTGGGGGTGCGCCCCGGCCTCCTTTCAAACAGCTCGGAGGTCTGGACTGAACCCAAACAGCAGAGCTGATCCAGGACTCCTAAAAGGCCCGACTGTGGGAGAAAATGTGAAAGGAGCAGGACGAAGAGGAAGACATGGTGGCGTCTCCCTGACTCCTCTTCGGCCTCCTCATCTTAGAGAAGCTGCTCCTTTAATGAAAGTGTCTGTGGTGATTTGTGGGGTCGGTAATCAGTCTGAACCAAAAACCACGACCTTTTCCCAGGACCTCCTTCGTCCATCAGAGGAGGAGTCCCAGAGAGGGGAGCAGGAATGCTCTCTGCACGTCCTCACAAACTGAACCTGGACAGTCAACACATCAAGAGCTACCAGTACTGCTATATACTGTATCATGCACTGTATGACACCCAGCACTGCAGTACTGCAGTACTCTGTGCAGGACTACAGCTGCTGACTGAGCTCAGTTTGACTCTGTCAATGATTCCTGCAGAGCCGCACCTGTGCAGGTGTGTGCAGGTATGATAATGACTAAATCGCCTATCTAGGGGCGATCGTGTGTCTTGTAATTGGAAGGTTGCTGGTTCGAGCCCCGGCTCACCCCTCGC